GACCATAACAACTATTTTAATGTACATGACCTGAGTTCGGTCCCGCCGAAGGGCAGAATCTCGTTCGGGGTAATCCTCTTCTCGTTTTTACCTTCTCTTTATCCCTTAACCCTGATCTGAATCGAAATTTCTTTTTTGAATCCCTCTCGCCTGACCACTGTTTTTACACTGTAGGGCTGAGAACTTTTCTGTCGCACCCCTGTTATTGTTTTTATTATTTCGTTAAACCCGTTATTTCTTTTGTTAAAACTAAATAACTAGTTCTTCATAATGTCGGCCTACCACTGGAAATCACGCCTTGTTATTGATTAAACAGCTATCCCCAAGAAACTGTACCTTAGGTTTACTCAGGATTCTTCTTTAATATGACGTATGTGGTCATAGCTCTCCACAACTCCCTATCCTTTGTAACTCTGGGCAATGCTTGTCTCCTTTATGTAGGTTACTCTCTGTTTCCTATGCCCGTCTTGCCGTCAATATATCCTGTGAGTATCAAATTCTCCAAGCCCTCATTATGTTTCTAAGTCTTTCTGATTCTAAGTGTGTTTTTTTTTGTTGTTTCCATTTCCCTTAAATCTTTCCCATTGTTCACTTGTTCCCTCCATGGAATTCTCAGCATCCTTCTATAGAGTCATATCTCTATTTTTGTTGCCTCAAGTCTCCTCTGCATCTGTAGAGAAAATCTTCTACATTCTCGGATATGTATAAGGAGTGAATACTTACTGTTCAACACAATTTTCTTTGTTTTTAACGAAATTTTCCCGTTTATTAATACATTGTTTAAAAGGCTTTCGTTACTCCAAAGCATCTTCGGATTACGGTATCGCATTTTCCGTCGTCTGTTAAAACACTTCAAAGATATTTAAATTTCTGTACTTGTTTGATTTTGTCATCTTCAATTCGTAGCTAGCATTTTGGGGTTGTTCCTCTTGCTGACAACCAGACATTCTGTCTTCTTACAATTGATAGTTAGTCTTTTCTTTCCGCTTTCCTTTACTATCTTTTCTGAGAATCCGTACAGTTTTCTTTCTGTATCTACCAAACGACAGTTTAGCATTGTGGGTGCTGAAGGAACACAAGTGTGTATGAGCAGGAGTCTGCAACAGGGATTAGATAACTGCCATAGTAGACTCCACAACGTTCAGACGGATTTCTAATAAAATTATGATATATTCATATTTCATAAATTCAAACAGAAACCTTTTTTTTACAAATGATAACGTTAAACAGTTTCTGACAAGTATGGCAATTAGTGAACCGCTGAGAACGTGAAACCAGCGAACAGAGTTTGATTCCTACTTGAGTTCATTGCAATAAATATACTCCAGAAAGGTATGAATCCATCTCTTCTCTCCACTTACTCCGATCTATGAGTTAAATAGTAGGATTTTGAGCTCTTCGTCTTGGTTGATATCCAGTCTAGGAGAAGAGCAACTCTGAATTCTAAACCCGTTGTGCCTGGCGCTGATAACTTCATCCCGTAGAAAACCTATTTGTTACGGAAACAATAGCAACAACGTTTAGCTTATTGATAGCTGTGGTCCTATAGTCCTGAGGGAGTCTACAGGACTTGGGTGAAAGTAATAGAGATAAATATTTATAAATACTTTGAATTTTATTAAAATTTTGTTGATTTTACAAGTAAAGTCCCCACTCAAGAGGATGGGTCATGAAAAACTGCCAAGCTGTTGGTTGCTGCTACAATACGAAACTATATCAATAAACTGACTTGTGGAATGTTAGCTAGACAGTAACAATGATAAGATCTCTCTCTCTCTCTCTCTCTCTCTATATATATATATATATATATATATATATATATATATATATATATATTTATTTTATTATAACCCAGCTGGAAATAAAACAAAATAAATAGAAATCAATGTAAAGCATCTGTTGCACAAAGTATTAATAACACAAGTAATCAGACAAAAAAAAAAAAAAAAAAAAAGAAAGAAATAAGATGTCATTTCCGGTTTCTTTTGTAGCAACGAGGTTGGGTAATCAATTCTCTCAAGCCCGTGAGTTCGATGGAGATAGCTGAAATCTCTGGATCACTGATAAACAGTTGTACTCGCAATGAGGCTCGTTGCCTCGAACGTCTATTTGGAATAAAACGAAAAAAAAAAAAAAAGAAGCTCATCCCAGACCTTATGGAACTCGAATATTTAGAATTTGATCTCGATCTCGCCGAGTTCATTTTCCGCGACGACATTCGTTTTACACATTATTTACATTATTCGGACTATAATCCTCATCTTTGTCGCCATATTTATTGCAATGTTTCGGCCGTTGTACGCTCTGGCCTTCTTCAGGTGGTTGGAATGTCGAACTGAACCCTTTATTTCGCTCACTGGGGTAGACTGTTCTAGTTCCACGTGCCATGTTTAATGGATGTCAATTATCAATTATCTCCTGTTAATTTTCCCTCTGAAAGTTCTCCATGTGGCACAGTGGATAAAGGCGTTGGTTAGATCCAGTGACAGAACCCAAAGAGTGTGAGTTCAATACTCGGCTAAGGCAGTATTCCACTGGTATGGAGGAAGTTCCATTCAGCTTCTTTCTTCAGAATTATCAATTAGTGGAACAGACTCCCGAGATGATGCTTCAAGTCAAGAGTCAACTGTTATCTATTCCACATGTCCTCATAATATGCACGTCTTATTTCCCACCTTTACAATAATCTCATTCAGTAACTCTCTACCTTGAGTGGATCTTGGGCCTTGAATTGGGTGAACAATAAGATTTAAAAAGGGTCTAGTGTACTTACACTATTTACATTATTCGAACTGTTATCCTCATCTTCATTGCCATATTCACAACATTTCGGCCGTTGTACGCTACAGCTTTCTACAGGTGATTGGAATTTCGAACCGAATCCTCTATTTTGTCCACCGCGTATGATTGTTCTAGTTCCACGTGCCATGCTTTAAGGACTCATGTCCCAATGGATAAAGGCGTTGGTTAGATCCAGTGACTAAACCCAAAACAATTGTGAGTTCAATACCAGGCTACAGCAGTCGTGAAGTAAAAACTCGGAGAGTTGAGTTAAAGGGAAATAACTGAGACATCCAGAAAAGGCATAGCACGTGGAGCTAGAACAATCTACTCCGGGTGGACGAAATAATGGGTTCAGTTAGAAATTCCAGACACCCGAAGAAGACCGGGGCGTACAACGGTCGAAACGTTGTGAATATGGCAATAAACATGAGGATAACAGTCCGAATAATGTAAATAGTATAAGTAATCATAATAATTGGAAGGGGAGGTACTGTGGGGTAATGGATAGCGGCTCGGATTGAGGAATTCCAGCCCAAAACCATTACATTCACTTACGTGTTAATACCCTTGGGAAAGGTGTGAATCCTCCTCTTCTCCCCACTGCTATGGGTAAATAGCAGAACAGAAAGAAATGACAACCTACTGCGGGGAAAAAAACTGCCTCGTCAGTCATGTAACGAAAGATACATGATCGCTTAAGCGTGTATCACACATGCCACTTAACTGACTGACTGATTCAAAATACCTCATCTCAGAGATATAGACAGATATCGGGTCTAGAGTATTTAACGCTCACGAGACATATTGAAGGTAGAGATAACCTATTTAACGAATTTGCGTAAATGAATGGCAGATCAAGGTCAACATTTTTTAAGAGATAGGGAACTGCTAGAAACAAAGAACAACAGTTCATCAACTGTTATGCGATCATTAAATCTTCTAGACATCACTATGGCTTACGGCCATATCACGCTGAAACACCGGTTCTTGTAAGTTAAGCAACGTCGAACCTGGTCAGTACCTAGATGAGTAACCGCTTGGGAATAAAAAGTACTGTAAGCTGGGGTGTGTGGATGGTGTAATAGATAATCGCTGGGAATTGGAAATCGGAGAGCTGAGTTTCAATTTCAGTCTGATTCGTTATATTCACTTACGCGCAAATACCCCTGAGAAAGGTAAAATTCACATCTTTTGTCCCCCAGTTATGGGCTAATTAGTAGGTCTTGTATCAGTAAATCATTATTATCTTCAAATAATTCTTGAAATGTAAAAATATTTTCTGGCTTTAAAATAACCCCTAAATGGTTCATAAACCGTAAAAAAAAACAAAAAACAAATCGATCGTTGACAGTGAATGTTGGACAATCTCCTTAGACAAAGATGTGACATATATGTGACTACAGATTTATCCTGATAATAACATTGAACGAACATGTGAACAACGTGGAAGTTTTAAGGAAAATAAAAACAACGAGGAAACTTATACTTACATTCAGAAAGAAACAGTCTAAATTCATGGGACACCTAATAAGGAAAGAAGGCCTAGAGAATTTAATACTCACAGATCATATTGTCAGCGAGAGAAACAATTGGAAACGGCGAGTAACCCACTTAATGGGTTTGTGAGAATGGATAGCAGAACAGGAATCACGTAGATGGTAAAGGTTCAAAAATTAGTGTATGTAAGGACAGGAAGTCGTGGAGAGCCATAATCGCCGACGTCCTGAAAGTATTACTGAACTACAGAGTGTACCCACTTCTCTCTGACCAATAAGGTTTGATAAGATTACACTAGATTATTGGCACATACAAAGCAGCTCCATTCACAAGGATTTCACTTCCTTCGTGAGTAGCATTGGTCCCGAAGACGAGGTTTATCAGTAGTCCCCACAGATCCGGTTCATGCATAATATTTCACCCGTAAAAGGCTAGAAACAAACCAAAAAAAGCAGAACATTTTATACCTGAAGCTTTCGATTGATTCGTTTTGTATGGCTCGTCAACACTTCACAGGTTATTTAAAGCCATAATTCTTTTTAGATTGTATTTTTTTTTGGATAATAAGGATTTAGGGACACAAGTCATATTAATTAACCCATAGCTGGGGGAGAAGAGATGTCTTCTTACCTTTCCCAAGGATATTTGCGCCTAAGTGAATATAACGAACCCAACTAGAATTGAAATTCAGCTCACCGATTAACAATTACACCACTCATACACCTGGTATTCCAAAGAGGTTATCCATCTAGGTACTGCCCAGTCTCGACATTGCTTAACTTCGGTGATTGTACGGGAACCTGTGTTTCAACGAGAGATGGTCGTAAACCGAGGTAATATTTAGAATATATGTAAATAGGATTATGATGAAATGTGCATAATGATTCACTTCCCGTGTCAAATTTGAGGAAATGATCGAAATTCCTGTTCTGAAAAGGTTTAATGCAATTCTTCAATTATATTTTCTCATCTTCATGGTTGATTTTTTTTTTTACCTTTATAGAATTTACGTGCTACGGGATTAGAATGGACGGGGGTTACTGTTGGTCACCAATTTGTAGTGCGAAAAGTTATGACTTGTTACGGCTGATTGCGAAGAAGACCTGCAAAGTAAAACGAATACAAACATTTTCAAAAAATAAATTCAACACGTGGAAGAATTTATATATTCAGTGTTTCAACGTGATGTGGCCGTAGGTCTTTCTACAAGTTTGGTTATAAACCAAGGAAAATTCTTTGTTAAGCATTTTTCTTCGTTTTTTTTTTCTGTATTTCGGATAACCGGAAACCAGAAAATGGTTTGAAATATAGAGAACTAGTGGAGTTTTAGAATAGGCACTGCGACTAGAAATAATCCTTTTTTTTCCAATTTATTTTCCTATTACTATAGATTACGCACTCCAGATTACGAATATGTTTTTTCTTTATAAAATTTTATAAAAGTTAATAGGGTGTCCATTTTCCTATGCAAATTCATTGTAAATTAATCCCCCTTTTGCGAAGGCAAAAAAACACGTTTCTTATACTTATCGTTTTCAAGCAACTGTGAAATAGCATTTAATAATTTATTTTTCAATTTTTTTTTTATATTACCATTGATTAAGTCCTCCAGATCATGGTGATTTTTTAAACGTAGGTTAGATGTGGCACAAGGCCGAAAGTATGGGGGCACCCAGTGAGGATCGAAGTCACAAGTCAATCGTAATTGATCTAGAGTGGCAAGCTTGCTAACCATTACACCTCGTCGAAGTGCTCAATGTCCTCCAGATTATAAACGTTTAATTTAAATCTGTTTTTATTTTATTTTAGGAGATCACGTGGTTTGAACTTTTTTTTTCTTCTATTAGGGGATCAATGGACAATAAATTTACATTGCAAACTTTTATTAAATTTTATAAAATTTCATTTACGGAAATAATATTCATGATCTGAAATGTGTAATCTATACAGTAATGTTTAAAAAAAATGATTATATATAGTCGCTGTGCCTATTCTAAAACTTCACCGAAAAAAATAACAAAAAAAAATCCTTCATTGGTCTTTATCCAAACTTGTCTAAAAGAAAAACTGCTACCCAGATACACGTTATAGTTATAGTAATTTTCTAAGCGTAGTATGGGGCACCCAGTGAGGATCGAACACACGACTCAGTTGTAATTGTTCTAGCGAGACAAGCTTGTTAACCATTACACCGCCTCGAGGTGCCCTACACCCAAGCTATAGTTTCGTAAACATGAACTTTTATTCTTTATTAATTTTGCCAATTTTCAATATTATGTCCTAGCAATCACAAATGGTATGTAGAACTATTTATTGCCCACGAAATTCCTAACTCTTTAATATACCATCTGTTGATATGAAGATAATAAGTTTGCCAATGTGGTGGGCTGGTAATAAATCTAATTGTTATTGTTAATTATGAAACATTCTTCGTATCTCATTATTTCATATTTCCAAGACACGGCGCCAGAAAAAAAAAATCGGTATGTGGGAAATTGATAGGGAGGGTCTAATTTATATATTACAAGTAGGCGGGGGCTAAGTCAGATTTTAAGTTTTAAAAGTTATTGATACTATAATTTTTGTAATCTTATCCTCTCCTAAAATTTTTTTTTTTTAAAATCTACTGGGTGTCCAGTTAAAAAGCGGAAAATTTATTATCACTGTTTTATCTTCCAGGAATATCTGACCTTGAATAACCTTGAATAAATTTCTTGAATATTCATGACCTTGAATAATCATTCGCCTCTAGCGTAATTACTTAACTCTGATTGGTTCTTTTATGACTGATTAATTTCTACTCGATCTTGTGACTTGTCATTTGCAGACAATTTTCGTCTTTCGTTCTGCCCTTCTCTTATGGGTGGTACCGCTTGTCCTTCCTGGATCGAACTTAGGCAACCCCGACCAAAATTAGGCTAGTTTAGGGTTGTTTTTGTATCTTTAGTTTTTTCATTCCAGTTAACTTAGCTAGGGGATGTATGTTCATTGGTCCCTTTTATTTCTGTCCCTATTTTTTTTTCAGTTTAATTCCCCATCCCCTACTCGGTGGTCAGTGATGTCAGTTCTCTGGTGGATGCGGGGCGCCTTTCGTTTCGGGTGTGATTTTCGTATTAGTTGTGTTTGAATGAGTATGTTTGAGTGAGTGCTTGGGATGAATGAATGTTTTATATTATTAAAGTCCCGCATTGATTTTGTCCAGTTAACTGATGTTTCTGCCACATTTAGGCATTGTGTTTTTTTTTACAAACATTATTTTTAGTTTCTTGTATATAGCTTTGTTCAGTTTTGTAAATATTCATTGGGGTATAGATTTTTAAATTATTTTATCCCCCCCCCACAGACAATGAATTGTACATATAGGGATTAGTTAGGACTTTTATAGAGACAATGCGGTATTATGGTGGATGTAGTAAGAATGCGTTGTTTTGGTGTAAGTAATACTGTTGTATGTTTGGGTCAGTGTTTGTGGCTAGCTATGTTTAACGTTTAGAACAGAGGAAGACTGTCCTTTCCCCATTTTGTCCTTGTACCGTATTTCTGAAAATAACAGAATATATATCGCCTTTCTCGCATGGCTAAACAACTCACTGTTTTTGGTCGTCAAGTCGTCGTACTTTTTCAAAAAAGAACATTCGACGTGGGGATTGACTAAATGTGCAGAAACTCTTCCTGAACTTTTCCGTCAACGCTTGTCTCACGTCTTTCTGAATTTACCGCTTTTTCTGTATTAATCGACAGTAAAAAAAAAAAATTGTTGTTGTTTTGTTTGTGTTTTTTTTTAATCAGTTCATACCAAGCAAGGCGACAATGCCACTAGGACGCAAGGGGGCTACTGACAGTGAAAGTGAATGAGAAGACTTAAGGTGGAACCGGAAATTCAATCCTAAACAGGAAACAACGGACCCCCCCGTCTCCTGTTCAAAAGACAGGGAAGGAGTATGAACCGAACGATAGACGAACCTATCTACTCCTACTGATTTGTGATAAGGCATTCAATATTTGTGTTCAGAATGTTATCAAAAAAATACAAATGCAAAAGGACGTTTGCTTAGTGAACTTGAGTAAATGGATGTTGAAACAGGGCTTAAGAGAAATAATTGAAAGACAAAATTTATTAAGAGCTACAAGAGACGGGAAGTTGTGGAGAGCTATGATTGCCTATGACCTCAGAGGACGCGACATATAAAGAAGATAAACAATCGGGAAACACTAGATCTATACAAATTTAGAAAAAAAACATAAAATGGTTTCTTTCAATATAAACTACCTGTCTTTTCGATTTTCGAACGTAACTTTTTTTCTTTTTTTTTTGATTGATTGATATTTTTTTTACGGCTTACCAACCTTTTGTTAGTCATTTAAAGCCGAAACACATTTTTGGATTTTAAGAATAATTTTCTTTTTTTTTTTGTGAGTGAATATTGTATTAAAACATTTTTGAGGACAGATAATAATAATTTTCAGATACACGTTGTACTATTTAGCCCATAGCTGGGAGGGAAGAGGTGGATGCATACCTTTTCCACAGGTATTTACGCGTCAGTGAATGTAGCAAACGCAATTGGAATTCGAACTCGGCTCTCCAGTTTCTCGTTCCGAGTCGTTATGTAGTACACCAGTCGCACATTGCTAGTTTGCAATATCCCGGTCTTTTAAACAGTAGTAGAGGTTTATCCCTTGTTTCCTGTTTAGTATTGGCTTCCGGTTCCTTCTAAAGTCTACTTCAGCTATATACTCCTCACGCTTGTCCTTTCCTACGCTAACATAACGCCACACAGTAGACCTCTATTTTGAGTGGTTCTTGGGCCTTATATTGGGTGAATATTAGTAAAAAAAAAAACAACCCAAAACTGGTATACCCAAGCGGTTACCCATCTAGGTATTAACCAGGTTCAACGTCGCTTAGCCTTCGTGATCATACGGTGTAGTCTTAATTTTTTTTGTTTTATTTCATTTTTTTTTTTTTTTTTTAGTTAAAAGTAGATAAATCTCTTGTAGGTCATTATCAAATCACCTTAAGGAAATAAACGATGAACCGGTCGTTTTTTCATGTAACAATTCACAACCACTTCTAACACAAAGCGTTATTACTTTTTTCTCCTTTTGTCGTTGTTTTCTTTCTTTTTTTTTTTTTTTTGTTTGCAGCTTAACCTTCACCTACTTTTATATTCTTTTGCGTTTAATGATCGCAGATTTTCTTTTGCCTTTTCATTTTCTTTTTGTCTGGTTCACTTTTTTTTATCCCACGACACGTGCACCATTGAGCACATGTTACATTGTCGAACCTTTTTATCCCGACACTGAATCCGGGCTTAGATACATATGTATAAAGTACTTGCTGTTTTGTTGGCAACATAGTGTGAGGATAGGCTCAATAGACAGCGAGCCGCCAGTTCGATATCTTGCGACGAGTGAGTAAGGGTGACCTGCAAGAATTAGCAATCAGGGAATAAAGACCCTTTCAGTGTTTCTCAAAAAACTAAGAGGTATTATAATGAAATAAACAAATAAGATTTTGTTTATAAGAAATCTTTGGTGTGTGTGTGTGGGGGGGGGCGCAAAACTAGTAAGCTTGACTCTAATATTCTTAGTCAGGGAGTTGTATACGCAGCAACAGGACACTTGAAATTAAGTTAACCATTATTAACTTTTTGATATTATTATCTTCTTCTGTGTCCCGTGTCAGGACGTGTACGATCAGGACTCTCCACGACTTCTTATGATTTGTAGTTCTTAGTAAAGTTCGTCTCTTTGTTATCTCTCCTAATCCCTGTTCTGCCATTCATTTACACAAGCTCGCTAGGTAGGTTACTGAACGCTTTCCTCTGTCCCTTTTGCTTTCAATATATTCACCGGCCTGAGTGTCCGAGGAATCTCATAGAAAATACATGTCCTTCAACAGGAATCGAGCCTGAATCCTACACGGAACCGTCATATAGCCTGACGTGCTATACCATTTAGCTACAGAGGAATCGTCTGGTTAGTAAAGTCAAATTACAGTTTTTAAACAACAAATGACGAATTTCTCGGATGTATATATAAATTTACATATATGTCTATATACATTTATATATATGTATATATATACATTTATATATTTGTATATATATACATTTAAATATTTGTGTATATATATATACATTTATATATTTGTGTATATATATACATTTATATATTTGTGTATATATATATACATTTATATATTTGTCTATATATATATACATGTATATATTTGATATATATATATATACATGTATATATTTGTGTATATATATACATTTATATATTTGTATATATATATATTTATATTTTATATATATATATATATATATATATATATATATTTTATATATTTGTGCATATATATATATGCATTTATATATTTGTGTATATATATATATACATTTATATATTTGAATATATATACATTTATATATTTGTATATATATATACATTTATATATTTGTATATATATACATTTATATATTATATATATATATATATATATATATATATATATATATATATATACATTTATATATTTGTGTGTGTATATATATAAATTTATATACATTTAAATATTTACTTTCAATATATATTGAGAGTTTTAACTTTTTCAGACCCTCTTTTTGTTCATTATGTGCCGTAGAAATTGCAATTGTTTCTTTCTAATTCTAAGTATAAGCATCCCTTTTTGTTTCTATTTCTCTTAAAAATTCCTTAAAATATATTCACTTCATAGTATTCTACATCCTTCTGTATAACCATATTTCTGTTGCCTCAAGACTCTCCTTCACCTGTGAGGAGATTGGATAGCATTCACTGCCATATAAGAAGACCGATATATATATATATATATATATATATATATATATATATATATATATATATATATATATATATATATATTGGTATATACGGAATGAATGGGTGTTGAAACAAAATGGCTATTTTGTAGTGATTTTATAACATACTTATGTTATAATTTTTTTTATTTTTTATTTTTTTTTTTATAAAAAAATAATTATATATATATATATATATATCCCTAAACTGGATCCCGACAAAGTCCGTGGACTTGATGGTGTCCCTATAATAGACCTTGCGAAAGATGCTCTTGCACTTGCTATGTAAAATCTACAATAAATGCCCTGTTACTTCTTGCTTCCCTGCTTGTTGGAAATCCTCTTGTGTTTTTTCTGGACTTTAAGAACACGGACAAATCATCTGATCCTTCTAACTATCGTCCTATTGGCCTTTTTTTTCAAACTCTTTTTGGCAAAGTACTAGAAGCTATAATCAACTCTGAATTGGGGTCATCACGGGATCTTCTTTTAGATAATCAGTATGGCTTTCGCTTCTCTAGTGAAGCTCGGGCTGTTGCATTGGATATCTCGAAGGTATTTGAAAGGGTTTGGCATGCTGATTTTTTTTCACAAATTGAAAGGTTATGGTATTTGGGGGCGAATGTTTGGGCTTATTCAGTCTTTCTTATAAAAGCCCGTAATGAAATTTATTTTGAACGGCCTCTTAGAACTTTTTGCACTAAAGCAGGTATTCCCAAGGGCTCTATTCTTGGACCTATGTTGTTCATAATTTTCATCAACGACCTTCCTGATATCATCAGTTCTTAACTCAGTATCTATGTTGATGACACAGCTATTTACTCCTGGGTTAATGGTAAGTCTGATCGGTTCGAAAAGAGCAAATTGACAGCTGATCTAAAAAAATAACATACAATCTGTTGTTAACTTGGGCAAGAAATAGCTTGTTATTTTTAATGCCTCCAAAACGAAACTGTTCTTTTTTAATCGCCTGAGAACCGTTTTTGCCTTACGTCAAAAGGATGATGCTAACCTCATTGCGATTTCTCGGGGTAACGTTTTCCGTTGACATGAAGTAGAGGATTTTATTGAATCAATTACCAGGCTTGCTACAATGGATGTTGATTCACCGTTTCCCGCGAAACAACTTTTCTCACAAGAATCTCTCTTACACATTTATAGGTCTACCATTCGTCCATGCATTGAATATTGTTCTCACACCTGGTCTGGTATTTCTGCTATGTAGTTAGGGATTCTTGATGAAATACAAAGGAGAATCTGCATACTTATTGGTTTTGACGTGGCATTTCGGCTTCAGTCATTTATCACCACTGTAACAGCTTCCCTGTGTCCTTTTTACAAATATTTTTCATGGTAATGGTTCTTTTCTTTTTGGTTATTTCTATTCCGGCTCAGACAAATTGTACATATGGGAACTAGTTAGGACTTCATAGTCTTTGAGTTATTATGGCGATTGTAGCGAAAATGGTAAGTAAAAAAGTGTTGTTTGAGTGCAAGGAATACTGTTGTATGTTTGGGTCAGTAATTGTGGGTGAATTTAGGGAAATTTGATAACGGGAAGATTCGGTAACGCAAAATTTGGTAATTTTGACAAGGTAGAAAAATTCGGTAATTATGAAATAAAAGTCGAGTGACTGCTCTGGAAGGGGGAATTTGGGGGCAACCCCTCCCCTATAGTTTTAAATAACTGAAAATCGTGGGGTCCAGATAAACCCCAACTACAATAATACCAGGGCCGTTCTTGCAGAAGGAGGGCATGGGGGGGGGGGCTAGGCCTCATTCCCCAATATTTAAAAAAGAAATCTGTCTTTCATTACAGAAAGTTTTACCCATCAAAGCGTTTTGCAACAGTGGAAAAAAATGAATAATCAGTTTGCTTCAAGGTCAGGTGAATAAGGCAGATGGGAAAGAACAGACCAATCGAGTTCCTTTTTTCCCCTATGTTATTCTTGTTGTATGTGGCGTTATGTTGTAAAAACTAAGGTAACTTAGTTTATTTTAAATTTATTCTCAATTGCCACGTATGATTAGTAGCTTGTATCATACAGTTGTCATTACAATTGATTCCCAAAATAGAAATTACTAATGACTCAATTTTATATATTAGTATGGAACATCATAAGACTACTAGAGAGTATGAATAGGTATCGAAATATCCATAAAATGACTTTTTATTTTTATAATCGATTATTGCTTATCTATAATAGGACGTCTGGGTTATTTTTGCATGCACATACATGCTGAAAGTGGTGCTTTTTAAGCGTAGCTTATATGTAACACTAAGCCGAGAGCATGGGGAAGCCAATGAGTATCGAGCTCACTATACAGTCGTAACAGATATAAAGAGACAAGCTCGTCAACCATTACATCACGTCGAAGTGCTCTGGCTTTTCTAAGCATTTCTAAGCATAGTTTGTGACACAAGGCCTAAAATGTGGAGAATAGAACTCACTACTTAGTCGTAAATGATTTAGCGAGAAAAACTTGCTAACTATTAGACCACATTGAAGTGCCCCACACATAATTATTTGGAACATTACACACAATTTCGGCAAGTTCATTTACAAGTTTCCAATTGACATCCATTGACTTATTGGTCACCAGGAGAACCTCATAAAAAAATTACTTTTTTTTCTAGATAAGTTTTTCTTTTTAGATAATAGTGATTTAGGCATACAAATCTTACTAATTAACCCATATCTGGGTGGGTAGAAGAGGTGGATTCATACCAAGAGTATTTGCGCGTAAGTGAATATAACGAACCCAGTCGGAATCGAACTCGGCTCTCCGATTAACAATTCCGAGCGATTATCCATCACACCCACCCGCACACCCAAGCTTACAGAACCTGTTATTCCCAACCGGTCATCCATCTAGGTACTAACCAGGTTCGATGTTGCTTAACTTCGGTGACCGTATGGAAACCGATATTTCAACGTGATATGGCCGTAAGTAAATGAAAACTCGGAAATCTAAACCGTTGAGAATGCACCAGGGAAACTCTCCACTATCTTTCCCAAGAAGGCATGGCAGTTCACAGATAATGAAGAAAAGAAAACAGTGAAGAGTCATGATCGCTTACGTCCCGAACGTTTGCTATCTAAATGTACTGTTTGTGCGCGTTTGATATTTGAGATCAACCTTTTTATAGTCATCCTAATATTATTTAGCATAGAAATCAATGTATTTTTACAGAATTTATGTTTTTACATACATAAAACATATGTATTCAATATAACTGCCATCAGCTTCGATGACGCCCTCGATGCGGCTTCTAAAACGATTATATGCGTTGGTCAGGTGTTCATGTCGACCATGACGTCCTCGATAACAACCTTCGCCAAGTCCTTGGCATTGTGGGTATAATTGTTGGACTCCCTTTCAACGACGCCCCAAACGTAAGAGTCCAAATATTTTGAAATCGGGGGCGCTAGGAGGCCAAATGTTAGGGGTAACATGATCGTGAAAATATCCTGCCAGCCATTCATGGGTTTTGTCGACCGTTCTTAAGTTCACATATGAACTTAACAATAACAACAGAATTCTTTTCTTGATATACTGATAGACATAAATAATAATATATTACCTACCTCTCCATATGAAAAACTAACTAGCATAAACATGTGAACTCTCAACTATAAAAGTGAATGTGCTAATTATTACAAAACAGCGATTATACAAAATTTAATAAACCGTGTAAAAATATTTCTACACGGAATAAAAAAATAATAATAAACAAACTCTCATTAATAATGACTTTCCTAATTACATTATTGATGAACAAATTAGATGAGCCATTAGAAATATTAACATAATTCAAAAAAGAACATAATACATCCTCAAATAACCCTAAACATATCAACCTACTATACTGCAATCAAATCCACTAATTACAAACAAGATAAAAAAATCCTAAAAACTCATAAGTACTAATATATCCCCCACAGATCCAAGTAAAAAATAAAACTAATTATATAATATACTAAATTTAATACAACCAACTTAATCATCCGCAATAACTCTTTTCCGTCAACTAATGTTTCGCAAAAGACTAACATCGTCTATCAATTGACGAAAAAGTAATATGTTGCTTGCAGGATGACAACATCATCAAGAAGGCTTACATTACACATATCGAATTCAAGTTCTACTGCACAACATTTAAAAGAACAGCCCTGTCCACATTCACGTTTTAGGGAAATATTAATTGGCAATATAAGTATACGCCAATATGAGAATAAAAAAAACAACTCCAAATTCTTGAAGCGCTCTATATAAAAAATGCAACCAACACTAAATAAGATTAATTTTGAATATAGCAACAATATTTTAAAATGCCTACAAAAGCAATGTTTTGGGATACTCAAATTGTAATATTTTTAGAATTGCAGGTTGATTATTTTAAAACATAAAATAATAAAAGATATAAAATAAATTACCTCCCTTATATGTTCTAAGCATTAGTTTTTAAATTAATGGAGCGTGTTTGATGCTCATTTACAAAAAAAAAAAAAAAAAAAAAAAAAAAGAACAATCACTACTTTCAATTATATTAATTTTTGTCTTAGCAATTCACCCCTGAATCATCTTGGATGAAATTGAAAGCATGAGGGAAAATAAAAGTAATGAAAAAAACTACGGCGTTTTTCTTAATCCATTTAATAACAACACTAAGAAGTTGATCCATGAATTTGAGAGGATTAAAATTAAAATAACTAGACGTAATATGTCTAGATTATTCAACCAAACATGATTGAATATATATATATATATATATATATATATATATATATATATATATATATATATATATATATATTACAGCAAAAAACAAAAATTACCTCAACATAGAGATAGTCTATTTCTATGTTTTTTTTTTTTTTGCTGTAAAAAATAAAACCATCGAGCTCTCTGTGGATCAATTTTAATAATTAATATTACTAGGATCCACCAGGATTATATACCAACGTACATTATCTGTAATATATATATATATATATATATATATATATATATATATATATATATATATATATATATAGCGAGAGAGAGAGAGAGAGAGAGAGAGAGAGAGATTGTATATTTGGACACCAATACTTCCTTTATGCATATTTGTATGAATGTGGCGGACAAAGGAATAAGTTTTTTTTTATTCAGTTTTTCTACTGTACTTAAAATTTTTCTTTATTGATGATTAAGTGTATAGAGGAATCTATCTATCTTTCTATCTATCTTATTTTGTTCGTATCTATCTATCTATATATAACTATTTTCAAAGAGAGAGAGAGAGAGAGAGAGAGAGAGAGAAAGTAACGTATACGATGTTCTAACAGGCGCACATACGTACACACGTGTTGTCTTATTTCTGTCGAATATAAACAAAGAAAATGGGAGAAAATAAATTAATGTTTATTTCCATTCTTTTCTCCGTGTCACGTTTTTACAATAACCTTGGGCAATGGAAAATTTTGCTCTGGAGAACTCATCAATAAATCTGGCTGTGAGAAGAAATATTTCCACGCCTTGACGAACCACTGAAATCTTTCTGCGCCATTTGTAGTTACGGATGCTGACTGTCAATATCTCCAGGCCAAGAAACAGACAAAAAAAATAAATAAATAAAAATAAAAAAAATCAATGAGTAAAAGCGGAAAATATTAAAAAAGAAAAGAAAAGCTAACTGAAAATAAGAGTTAATGCTTCTTGTCAGTAGATTTCCTGCTTTATCGATGGGAATAATCTCGGTGATTTCTTTATTTAGCGATCAGATTCTATATTAGGAACAAGCTATTATATGAACGTCTGCCAAACTGCCAAAGTGCGCGAAAAAGCGCATAAGCGAGCATGCGCACAAAGACGCGTTCAACAGACACGCGGACGTGCAGACGCGCAAATTTTACAAGGTAACTCGAACAGAAATAGATGCAAGATAAACGAAAAGAAAATCGTAAGCGCAGCAAATACAGGTGTGCATGTGTTTTTATGCGTATTTGAAACTGTATATGGCTATAACTGCAGAAGAGTTCATTTACATAGAAACAACGAATATGCACATACATACGCACACACGCACACACACACACATATATATATATACATGTGAGCATATCTTAGCGAGTATGTATTTTTGTATGCATCCATATGTATAATTATACATGTTTGTAACCATACGTAAAGTGAGAAAAGATCGTGAAAACACACAGACACACACATATATATATATATATATATATATATATATATATATATATATATATATATATATATATATATATTATTAGCTCTCTCTCTCTCTCTCTATATATATATATATATATATATATATATGAGAAAAAATTGATATATATATATATATATATATATATATGAAAAGATTGTATTTCACAAAACATAGAAGGTTGCTCCAGATATTTCTGGAAGCTAAAGTTTTAATGCAACCAGTCTTTGTAATGAGAGTGCTTGATATCAAGTGATAGGCCATTTATATTTACGAATAAAATTGGATAACTTATTTATTCCTAAATTGTGTTTCGAAATTCAAAGTAGAGACAAGATATATATATATATATATATATACACACACACACACACACACACATATATATATATATATATATATATATATATATATATATATATGTGTATATGTGTGTGTGTGTGTGTGTGTGTGTGTGTGTGTGTGTGTGTAGCAGGCTGCATATGTATTTTCTCATGTACATTCCTTCTATCTATCTATCTATCTATCTATCTATCTATCTATCTATCTATTACGGGCGCTGAAAAGTTCTCGGTTCAGTTATGAAGCCCTTCCTTCCAAATTCTGACCTTTTGCAAAAAAAAAAAAAAAAAGAAAAAAAAAAGATTAATCTTAATATTTTTGGAAGATAACGTTTTTAAGACAAGCAGTCTTTTTAATTATAGTGCTTGATATCTAGAGATCGAACAGTAATAGTTACGAATAAAATTGGATGTTTACTTATCCCTACTTTGTGTTTCGAAGTAGAGACAACACACACACGCACACATATATAAACAAAAGGGGCATTTATTATAAACATACTCTGTTTTTCAAAACGCAAGATAGAGACAAAATAAATGAACACACACACTCACACACACACATATATATAATGACGAAAAGAAATATCTATTATAGACATATATATACATATGTGTGTGTGTGTGTGTGTGTGTGTGTGTGTGTGTGTGTGTGTGTGCATTTATTTTGTCTGTACCTTTGCGTTTCGAATAACAGTAGGAATAAGATAAATGACCATCCAATTTTATATATATATATATATATATATATGTGTGTGTGTGTGTGTGAATGTGTGTGTGTGTGCGCATGTGTATTTGTGCATTCTTTCGTATGTACACGTACGTATCTAGTTATCTGTTAGGAGGCGCTGAAAAGTCCTGGGCCCCACCAAGAAGCCACTCCCTTCAAATTCTGATCCATCTCATATACATACGCATATGTATATAGATAACTACACATATACATAAATACATACACATATGCATATAGATAAATACACATACTCATAAATACATACGCATATACATATAGGTAAATGCATATACACATAAATACATATACACGTAAATATATACAAACGATGACATATGCATGCATATAGCTATTTTTTACACATGGATACTTAAGATGTTTACAGTACTTGTTGTGCATGTATACTACATCGTCAATCACTGTCTGTCTATCTCTCTCTATAAATATTGTTATAACAGAGACACAGTGATCTGATATTTCTAGTGCAATACAGCAAAAGGTTACAGACAAAGATATTGAAGTAATTGATGAATTTTAAATCAGACGTTATTTCTTATTGTAATGAACTTTTTTTTATTGGATGAACGTGTTTGAGTTGACGTCCATTATTTTATTTTAATTTTTTATATGCAATGTAGGTAATTCGCTTGTCCAGGTTTTTTCGTATTAAAAATCCAAACTTCCGAATTCCAAACAATAATAGAATAAAAAGAAAATATGGGTATGCCTGTTAAATACGTCATTTGTACTTACAAATATAATTACATGAATTCAAAAAAGTCAAAAAGATGTAAAAATAGTCTTTAGCTGAGTTTAGAAAAGACTCTTAAAAGTAATTGCTTCATAATAAAAACTGTAGTTGAGAAAAGATTTTCGTCGTCAACCAAGATTCACTGACCGTCCCTGTTGTTACTGCTGGAGATGATTCATTTGAAATCGCCGACACGTTTCTTTCAGCACGCGGTCGGGGAGGGGGGAGGTCTATGTAGCCATGTCTTTTGTGTTTCAATGGCTTCGAAGCAGTCGCATCTCTACTCCTGAAAGTCGAAATCTGTCTGTTTGTAAAAGAATTTTTTTCCGAAAGTAGGCTCGAGAAAAATAGGAGTTTTATTTTCTCTGATTAGTAAAATATTTCACATGCTGGTGCTAATTTCTAACCAATAGACAATTTCATTTAAACGGTGTGTGTTGTATTGTGGAATCTTTCTGTTTTGTCATGTTTGTAAATATTGTCTATTATTGGGTAGAAAATAAATTTTGGGCATGTTTAATATGGTATGTATGTAGGTATGTAATTGTCTTGGAAATAGGGTTTATTTCCTATGACAGTAACATTGATATATACCAGTATCGTGATCAAAAGTTCTTTCAAAGAAAATATACCTCTTGGTAGGAATCGAGCCTATATTTCTTTTGAAACTACCTTCAAACCAGGTGTGCTTTACCGCAAAACAAGAGATTCCATTATGTTGATTGGGGAGGTTTTGTGTAAGAGTTAAAAGAACTGACGTTACACTGGTTGTGGTTGTAAGTAGACAGATGAATTATTATTACTGTCACCGAAAACGTTCGGGAAGTGAATAAAGATATTGGCAAGTCTATCTAGGTAGCAAGATAACTTGTAACCGTAGAATCAGAAATTTAAGAGATGCATACGGGGCATTATGCAAGCCGAAGATGCGCATTTAAACGCAAGCAATAATATCTATTTAAAATAAAATCCATTGCTACCAAAATTAAAGCATCATACGTATTTCTTGCAACAACTTCCTTTAGATATCAGGAGAGTCGTGGCCATTACTAAAAGTACTTTTAAAAGATAGAGCACAGTGGCCATTTTTCAGTTGCCGCGTAAAGAAGGAATAAAAGCTCAATAAAAAGAACTACTTTGAAAGTCATCTTATTAATAGTTACTAAGCTTAGCATATAAAACATGGATACAAATGAGGAGCACTGACATGGAATCGAACTCACTCTATTATTAATGCCCTGCGTACAAACTTGCTAACCGGTCCACAATGTGTCACCTGTATAACAGATCATATTAATAAATCAAAATTTCTTTGCAATGTGGGCAGTTTTTCTGGAGAGACGGGTTGGATTCTGTTCGGCTGGGTTATATATTGATATGTCAAGCCTTATTGAATAGTTTAATGGCAGTTCTTTTTTTATACTTAAGTCTATAGGTAAACGTTTATCGTGTTTATACTTGAGTTTATACGTAAGCATTGATCGTGTTTATATTTGATTAAATGGGCAAACATTGTTCATGTTCACATTTGGGTTTAAATGCAAACATTAGTCGCGTTTATACTTGTTTGCTCCTCAGCTGGGAATGCAGTCCATGTATTCTCGGTCCGACGATAGGGTTGCAAGAAACTTTTTGTGCCTCATTAAGTGCCCTAGGCCAGACAGTATATATAAAATTGATACTTTACTACGTCTTTAATATTATGAGGTTTGGATGTGTAAGTCTTTAAATATACCAGGGGCATTCCAGAAGTTTGAAGACTTTTTAGGAGAGGGAGTTATGATAATCCTAGATTACTGTAATTTTCATATATCAATTTTTTATATATCATTACAATACATCTAATAAGCTGATCTGCCATCTTTTCAGATTGAAGGAGACGACCGTAACAGCTCTTTGAGCAGACCTTACTAAACACTGCTTGTCATAACTAACAAGTTTGCAGAATGCAGTCGGGACGTAAAGAGAATTTGGAAAATCGATATGCAATAAAGTTTGGGGCTGACGGAAATGTGCATTAAAACTGTCCCTCAGCCTTCAGTCAACGGGCCAGACCTTGTTCCTGTGACTTTTGTTTGTTCGCCAAGTTGAAAGAGAACCTCATGAGCAGTCGTTTTGAAGACATTGAGAAAATGATGGAATCTGGGACAAGAGATATGAACATGTTCATTTTGGATGACTTCCATGGGGCCCGTACGAAGTGGTTGGAGTGCTACAAGAGCCAAGTCCATTGAAGTTGGAGGATCCTATTTTTAAACTTCTTTGTAATTAATAAATGTCACTCCTGCCGCAACACTTCTGGAATGAATCTGGTATATATATATATATATATATATATATATATATATATATATATATATATATATATAAGTATGTATTTTAAATATAAATAAAGTATGTACTTTAAATTTGTTTGCGAAGATGTATTCTCGCCATTTATATTAACTTCTATATCTGTTTTTGTATGAATGATTCATGTAATATATATATATATATATATATATATATATATATATATATATATTGATTTGAAAAAGCCAGACAGTATTTTTCATTTTTTCTTTTTTCAAAGGAATCTTTTTCGGCCAACACTTTTCAAAGGTAATCGTTGGAACAAATCTAATATGACAAAGGATTATATATATATATATATATATATATATATATATATATATATATAATATATATATATATATTAAAAACAATTTGAATTGTTTTAAACAATTTGACTTGTTAGTTGGGCAGAACACCATGACGCAATTCACTTCGCCAGAAATTATGAAACGGCAAGCTGTATAGCTTTGCATTTACACCGGAATCTCCAATATGAACATTTTGGTGTGTTTGGATGTCAATCTGAGAACAGTGCAGATGATTCGGAAAGAGTTGAATGAGGCTAATGACGATTACGAAGGTGTTTGCAGTGATCACTAGTGATAGCGACGTTATGCCTCCATTCGTCTTTCTACAGGGCCTCAGGCTCAACAAGGAAGTGCTTTGAGGTGATAATGCTGCTCTGGGGCAAGAAGGTGGCTTCTCTGAAAACTCTATGTCTGGCAACAGCATTCTGCACCATGCCATACAAGCAGGGAAACCTAGTCATGGCTGTCAGACAATTTCTGCGACCACATCACCCCTTACATCTGGCCACCTAACTCCCCAGACTGTACCCTTTTCGTTATTTAGTAGTACGCAGTTGAGTGAGAGACCAACAACACTCCTTGTAACACCGAAGATGAACTGAAGGCAAGGATGATGGCAGCATTCACTAACTTAAACAAGAAGACCGTTCAGAAGAGTTGCTAGAAATTCCACAGTTGTCTCGAGGCTGTGGTTGAAACCAATGGCGATTTTATTAAATAAATTTAATCTTTAGTATTTCAAGACATTTTTGTGTAATTTTGGTAAACATATCTATGAAAATGAGATGTCAGTGTTATTTTTATTTTTGCGTAATTTAGACGACAATTTATCCATCGTACCCTCTGTGCGTGTGTGTGTGTGTGTGTATATGTGTGTGTGTGTTACAATTATTATTGTTGCAAACTGAGCTTTCGCGAGGTCAGTCTTACCTACTAAAAGCCAATCAACCATTGTTATAACAGCAAAACTGTTACCTGACGCTGTTTGTGTAAGGGAAATAACTCTAGCACAGCAAAAAGTTACAGGCATTTAAGCAATTAATGGAGTTTTAATTCAATATTATTTCTCTATAAAAAGTTTATATTTAGCGGTTATACATGTTTGAATAGACATCCTTGTTTTTTTAAACAGTGACATAGACATCTACCATCAAACTTATACTAGGTTTCCATTCATCCTGGGAAACCACTTTTAAGTTAGGCATATTTAACCACTGAGCCACGAGAAAACTTAGCAGCTGAGTAATGCACAATTACCTTTCTTAAGGACTGCTCATCCATCGCTGAGACATTTTGAAGATTTATATCTGCTTAAAGGAATGCAGGTTTTCACCGAGAAACACATTTTCTTTTATAAGACTTTCGATTTCCCAGGCCGTGATGTCAATTTCACTGTTTGGAAGACAGAGATGTCTATTCAAACATGTGTACCTACTAAATATAACTATTATAGCAATAATAAACAAAACTATTCAAATACATGTCGCGTATTATGCGGTTGATAACTACCACAATGTTTCGTCATTATTTTTATTAATTAGTATTAAATTATTGTCACTGAACTGATAGAGAAGAGTAAAAATTGCTCAAGGGCGACATCTCTGTGGTTAGCAAGCTATAGACCTGGAGTTATCTCCTTCAGGCAAACGTGTTTCTGCCCTATTTATACTTAACGAATTAAAAATTACTCGGAATTTGAATGAACTGAAAATTGATTTTTTTTCTCCAAATAAGAGCATTGCGTTAAGAAAAATTGCGCTACGATGTGCCGTTTATTCTGTGTTAGGGTCACAAACAAACAGACAGACAAAAGCATGCAGCAATCGTATGATTATAATATAGATTAATTTAATAATTCCACATGTGTTACCGACACTTATTTTTTTTTTGTTTTTTTTTTACTGGTTAGCACGTTTAATCAATAAGTTAGAGTTTTAAAGCAATACAGCTGTTACGCGGATCTGTTATTTTCAGTGTTCATGATTTGGGCTTTCCTATGTCATATTTTATTATTCCGAACAATATTTTCACTAAAAATCTCAAACGGGTTTAATGATACTGTCTGATCAATAAAACTTTAGCCTGATACATAGTTCTTAGCTGAATTTTGATCTAAAAAATCCACTGCATAATGTTTGATCTATGTAGCTATTGGGGAAGTCTTCTGTTAAGTACATTGATAAAGAAGGAGATTATATGAAAAAAAACAGATGTTTGCCATCCAAACTTAGTGATATTTATAGGTTAAAATGCTCATTATCAGGGATGGAGAGTATGTAAATATAAATGTAAATATTAGGGTCAACACCCAGCGTTTTATACTTGATTTCAATCTTAGGGCTTGAAGATTGCACTTAAGCGTGAAACAGGCTGTCGACGTTGGGTGTTGACACACACACACACACACACACACACACACACACACACACACACACACATACAAACACAGACATCTCTCTTTTTCTCTCTCTCTCTCTCTATATATATATATTTATATATATATGCTTTGTGTGTGTATTTCTTGTTAGTGCAAAAATCTTTTTTCTCCACTAGTTATGATTTAAATTGTAGGATAGTCTGGGCTCTCTAGTCTTTCTTGTGTAACAGCCATTTTAGGAGAAGGTCAACTCTGAATTCAAGACCGTAGAAAAGGTAATGGGAAGCACTCCGCTATCTTTAATAAAGGTCATTGTAATTTACGGATAAGGAAGAAAACATGGAGAGCCAAGATCGCCTACATTCTGTAGGGATATTGTATGTTAAAAGTCACAAAAGACAGATTTATAAATGGGGATAGGGGATGCTGATGCACACTCACGAGCATCCTATATTACACCCCTTCTCGCAGTGAATCTATGAATCCTCATATATGAACGAGCTTGTCGCATTACTCGAGCCCTGAGATCGGTATGATGTTTCTGACTTAAGGAGGAGATCTGTTGCCTTGATTTCTGGGTAGAGACATATACACTCGGTGTATCACTTCTTTCTTGAATTGTTTCTTCATTACGGGTGCTGGAGGTAAACGTTTTTTTTTTGTTTGATTTTTTTTTTTTTGTGGCGTTATCCGCCTGATAGTCAGGGATCCGAACCTCTGAGTATCTACGAAGGAGGCTATCCTACCAGCAATATATGGGCTATTGTATTTCCATTTTACAAATAGGTTCTGGACAGTGCAGTAGTTGTTGATGGGGTCCTCGATGCCATTATGAAAGGTATTGTTACGCTGTAGGAATAGATAGGTTTGCATATCGTCCAGTTCACGGTTTGTTCATTGTACAAATGAAGGTTTATATAGTGTTTCCTGTTTAGGACTGGGTTTCCGGTTCCTTCTAAAGTCTACTTCAAATCTATACTTCTAACGTCCCCGCCTAAAACTCTGAACTTTTATTTACTATTTATTTACTTGTTTTTCCTCAATAGGAGTCGATAGGTTCGCCTGTCGTCCGGTTCATACTCCTCCACGTTCCTTTTAACAGGAATAAAGGTTTTCCTTGGGTTTTCGGTTCCATCTAAAGTCTTCTTCTTTTCGTCCACTTCCGCTGATCTCTTGCGTTATGATGCCATTTTCACTTCTGTTCCTCTTACTCGGTAACTTTCTACCTCGAGGGACTCTTGGGTCTTGTACATGGGGAACATCATTGTAAAGAAAATGAAAAAGTGATAAGAAATGTCGGAATGAAAAAGAAATTATAAAAAATATCTGCCTATTAAAGATTTACATTTTCTTAGAAATGATAGTTGAAAAACAGGAGTCTTGACATCCTTGCATTGGAAATTTATTCTGTTGCGTTTACTTTCGTACACAAGCACTTGGGAAAGACATGAATTCGTCTCTTCTCCCTACCCCAGTTATGCGTTAAATAGCAGGGTAGATTGGGCTCTATAGCTTTGAGCGGCAACCAGTAAGAAATAGAAAACTCTGAATTTCAGATCGTGAAGAAGGCAACCGAAAATCACTTCATTATCTTTCTCAATAATGTATGACAATTCAGTGACAATAAAGGAGTCTGTGGAGAGCCATGATCGCCTACGTTATGAAAGGGGTTGACATTAGAAATGATACTTGATAAATGACATGAAGGATCTCCTACATATATTTTGTCATCAGCAACTCCTCATTTAACAACTTATTTGTTTAATGATGCCATATGCCCCAGTCGACGAATGGGTTTATAAGGCGATCATACGCCGACTAGGAGATATATACATTCTCACACCTGTGGAGAGATACAAGCTATCTCTCCCAGATCGTGACAATGGACAATTGGTAAACAAAAATATTTTAAGAACACTGTTCGATTGGGATAATCGAACAGTAATCTTTCCCAGGTCCGCTTCGTTTTCAACACGAATACTGATCCACAATACAAGGATGAACTATAAGGCTTAGCGATTTTTGATACAAGAATTTTAATATGTACAAATATACAAATATCAAAATAAAAGTACATATAAGTATGAGTTAAAACATCCGACGACCAGATCTCAAAACTTACGTTGGGATATCAAAATTCGCCTGACTCCAAATGGATTCAACTGAACCCGAACATACAAAAATATAAGTAGGAATTACTATGAATTGAATGCAGAAGCCAACGCATACACAAAAGAGATAGGATAGGAGTTACAATTATTGTTTTGACATGTGGAAAGGTGTTTGCAAGAAGATAATATTCATGGATGTATGTATATCTTTCTACTACGGTCCAAAATATGATTACTTATCTTTGATATTCAGTTCTCTTATTTATCATTGTCCTTTCCTTTCTTTTCTCGACACAGACACAATTTCACACACTGTCCGGTTGTAGCAGAGGTATACACTTTTTTCCTCTCTTTGTTTTACCTTTTTTCTTTCCTTCCTTTTTCTTCTGTAGACAGTTCGGTTTCCAAACCCGACTCACTGCAACAGGGATGTACACTTTCTTCCTCTCTTTGGTTTTCTTCTTTCTTTCCGTCTTCTTCTTTACACAATTCAGCTTATAACAGAGGTATACACTTTCTTCTCTGGTTTTCCTTTTTCTTTCTTTACACAATTCAACTTGTAACAGAGGTATATACTTTCTTCCTCTTTGGATATCCTTTTTCTTTTCGTTACACAATTCAACTTGTAACAGAGATATATGCTTTCTTCTCTGGTTTTCCTTTTTCTTTAAACGCAGGCTGAATCCTCAGAGTATAAATTTCTCTGCGTCTTCAATTTGGGGTTCTCGAACAGGAATACTTCTTGTTATATTTCTTGTCCGGAGTTGCCTGGGTTGAACTGGATAAGTTCCATCACTATCAAATGAGTCTTATCTTTCCGTTCATAAACTATCAGCGCTTCGACTTCAAGTCTTGCTTCTTCCAAGTCAAGATAGCAACTGATTCTCGAGTGAATCTCTGACTATCACGTGTCTTAAGTTTTGGCGCGAATTCCAGCTTACATCAGTCCCCTAGCTAGCTTCTGTCTAGACATTTGTCGCTACGGGTAATTAGGTCAGTCAAACTTTTGACCTGCCTTCCCAAAATGTCATAAGACTCACACGTGGCCCTTATTCTGTTGCTAGGCGGAAATTAACCCTAATATATGCGTGTATGCGTGTTTAGGCTATCTGCTTTCGTCACAATGATCGCTCTGATTTACGACCATAAAACAAAACATTTAAAAAAATCATTTAGTCAGTATTGTACACTATGCAAAAAAAAATTGATCGTGATTATTTTATCTTTCTTCAAAATGAATCAAAATAAATGCAGTGAAAGATAAATAAAAAAAATATACTTGTACTGCATTTACAATACGCAAACCGATACAAAATATAGAGCTGACTTTCGAATTTGTTTATGACGTTTACTGTACTATAAACAAGTACGCAGGCCGACAGACGTAATAAACACTGTTTAAAATAAAAACGGAACGTCAATTTCACACACGAGTATCCACTAAAAATATTTGAAGTAATAAAAAAGATATCAGATTAAAAATAAATCTGTTAATCCTTTAGAAATAGTTTTGTTTACGTTTCGGGTACATGGGCTTTCGATAATAACTGAACGAGGAGGGGTGTGCATTATTTAAAGGGTAAACAGAACATCGCTGAACCGTGACGCTTTCTGTGGTCGAGCGGTGTAACGCTCGCCGTATCAAGCGATAGTTTCTATATAGGTGGACGCAGATTCGAACCTAGTCGGAGAGCACATTTTCTTTATTAGGTTTTCTCGCGCACGCAGGTCGATAGATGTTTAAAAAGACAAAAATGAGGCGTCTATTTCAAGCACGGGTATTCACAAAAAATAATGTTTGAAGTAATAAAAATTTCGGATTAAAAATAAACCCATCAATTCTTTAGAAAGTACTATACTGTATAAACATTTAGTGTAGAAAGTTGCAAATAGTTCAAAATTGACTTCAAAGCTATCTGAAGCTGGTTGACACAAACCCACCACCAGCACTGAATGCCTGAAATAGCGGCCAGGTACAATTTACTTAGCGACTAGTTTGTTGGAACGGAGCCCGGTCGTTAAACGAGGAGTGAGTGTATTTCATTTGTACTAACCAGATTGATTGTTGACAAGATGTTCTTTTGGTACTTTTGTTTTTAATGTTTGTTTTTTTTTTTTTTGTTGTTGTTTTATTTACTGTTAACACGCTAAAATACTTCCTTAAGATTCGAATATCGTGAAGCTGTCGATGAATTGCACTAAGATAAGAGCTTAGCAAATATGCTCAAATGTCATGTAACAATAACCGTGTTTCACTATGAGGAAAAAAATTCATCAAATTTTGTATGTTAGCTAAGGAATGCTAACACAGCACCGTCTCTGAATCACATGATACCCCCCGCCCCATTTTATTTATTTATTTATTTATTTTCGATGATGTCGGGGAAAACCGGGTGTACAGATAAATTACAAACAAGCTTGGTGAAGAATTCGGTCACATACAATCCAAATAGAAGTGTTAGCTGTGACGTCATCCATTCATATCGTCTGCTTGGCATCTTATTTCGTTATCACTGCTTTTGTGCTATCTGAGATTACTAACATGGAACCCATACCGATGTTTTTTTTCGAAGAATGGCTTTTTATATTTATTTATGTCTTTTTTTTTTAGGAGTTCTATTTTATTGGTTCAGGGTTTTCTATTTAGGCGTCAGTGAAAAATTCTTCCCACGAGTTCAAAGTCGCAAGTGATGGTGAAATTTTGTTGTTTCTTTCTTTCTTGCTTTCTTTCGAATGTCTGTGTAATGATAGCACACAAAAATTATTTGAACGAAGCAGAATACAGGACATCCGTTTCAAAGAATTTGTAATTTTTCAATTCGCAGAAGAATTAATCTTAATATAGAAGAGAATTGGTATCGGAACTCTGATGTTACTTGCGATATTTAAAACTTGGGGCGGAACTGAATTTCATAGCGTATATAAATGAATACCAAAGAAAATAAAAGATTTAAAAAATCTTTTATTCGTTATACCCAAGCAAGGCAATAAAACCAGCAAGACGCAATGGGGTACTGAGTGTGAAAGAATAAGAGAAAAAGAAAACATTAAAGAGAGAAAACAATAAAAGAACAGAAATTAAGAAGACAGAAAAAAACAAGTGATATTACATTTAAATTTTTGAAGATCAAAGTTGACTGGAAAGCAAGAGGCCGGAAGAGAGTTCCATAAGTGAGAAGTGCCATAAAAGAAGCTTACAACTGCTTAACCAATGCACAGTTGATCAGAGCCTTTAGTAATTTGCCAAAAAGCAGTAGAAGTCTAATAAGCCAGTAGTTAGAAGGATCAGACGGTTCGTTTGAGTTCTTAAAGACTGAACAAAATAGGATTTCCTACAAGCAGGAGAACAAGAAGCAGCAAGGCATTTATTGTGCAGTTTATAGAGAACAGGAGTCAGTTCAGGAGCACATTTCTTAAGCATAATTGCAGGGATGCCATCAAGTCCACATGCTTTGTGGGGATCCAGTTTAGATATGAGAGCAGAAACCATGAACGCAGTTATATACGTATCAATCAATAGAGACTCATTTTCTAACTCGAAAGTTAGGCAAATATACTCCAGATGAGTCAAGTATAGAATTTGGAGAAAATTTACGAGCAAAAAACTCTACTTTATCAGTAGAAGATATTAACATCTCAAGTTGAGAGAAAACGAGGACGGAAGGAATAGAAGGCTTACTCTTATTTAAACACACTATTACAGGGCAGCCAAACTTGTTAGAGGCTACGGTATCTCATCTTATCAGTAAACAAAGACTTATACTCTTTGAGGATACGTCTGCAATTATTACGAGCAGACACAAATAGGCTTCAGTTGTGAACCGAACTATCACGCTAGTACATCCGGACAGAGTGGAATATAGCAGCTGAACAGGCCAGAAGTTACAAAATCATCGGTGTCAGCATTAACCCAAGAAGAAACCTCTGTGCCACAATGCTAAATATTATGATGCACCCTAATATTTTCGTTCAAAATTGATATTCTATAAGTACACTAGTTAAAATTATATCAATAATAAATATTTCTTTTTAACTCAGTTATGTGCTATGCGTGATACACGCTTAAGCAATCATGTATCTTTCGATACATGACTGACGAGACAGTTTTTTTTCTCGCAGTAGGTTGCCATTTCTTTCTGCGGTAGATCAGTTGCCATCCAAGGCTATAAAACTCGGTCTTAGGGTTAAACAATTGGAATTAAGACACCTTTAGTTAATAGTTTCCGCCTCCTTCCCCTACCCAGCCTCTCTTACCTCCATAATAGAATTCCTGTAGCGGTGCCTTCTTCTCTCCATATCTCCCACTAAGTTCCCTATAATACCCTCTCTCTCTTTCTTTACCCACTATAAACTGATGCTATAAATAGTTTGAAAAATCATGCGAATTTTAAAATTAAAATTCGTAGGTAAAAATGGTCATTAACTAAAGGTATCTTAATTCTAATTGTAAAGTATATATATATATATATATATATATATATATATATATATATATATATATATACACTTACGATCGCAAATAGCGTGAAACCCAGTCACAAACTCGCATCAATCCAACTAAATATGTTAGCTCTATCACTGATATTGAGCGCTTTCCAAAAAGTACCGTGCATATATAATATATAAATAATATATATAAAAAATTGCATATATATATATATATATATATATACACATTTCACACAGACACACATATATATATTCACCTATATATATTTATAATATATATACATACTCATTCACACACACACACACACACACACACACACACACTCACTCAAGTATATATATATATATATATATATATATATGTGTGTGTGTGTGTGTGCATGTGTGTGTGCATGTGTGTGTGCATGTGTGTGTGTGTGTGTGTGTGTGTGTGAATGGGCGCGTAGCGCAGTGGTTATTAGAACGTTCGCATTCTGACCATGAGACCCGGGCTCGAATCTCATCACCGTTGATTTGTCAGGAAAGGTGACTTCCTGATATTATCAGTCTGGTGGGCGACGATCCCAGCGTACGGCACCTTTGGAAAGTGTCTAAATACTATACCATCTCAGTGAAATTGGGTAGACAGAACACTAGCACGAAGTCCCAAGTCATCGTGACCGAGGGCTTGAGTGTGCTGGCATTGTTCAGATTGTTGATCACGCTAGATAACACGCTCTCTCACAGAAACTGTTACTAAGGTCTGCTCAGCATATTTGCAGTATTAAACCACAGGTTGGCTCTGTGGGTGTTGAACAATACGAATACGAGTGGCCAGCTATTATATATATATCACAGACAACCCACTGAAGACGTTCTAAGATTAGATTGAAAATACTTGGGGAAAATAAAAACAATATGAATGAGGATTCTGGTATTTTTCTTAATCAATTTTCTAAGGCTACCAAGAAATTAATACGCGAACTTGAAAGGATCGCAACGAGAACTAATCGACATAATATGTCTAAATTATTTTGCCAGACCTGTTTGAATGAAAATATAGTGCCTAAATACACACACACACACACACACACACACACACACACACACACACACACACACACACACAAATATATATATATATATATATATATGACGAAATTGCATGACAAAGTGTAAAAAGTTTACTTGCGACGCGTTTCGTCCTTCAGGACTTCATCGGACTAAATTTGTAATGCTGGTAGGTCTACATAT